CTTTAAGTACAGAAACAAAAGAGAAATATGTACAGAAGTCAGAAGGATATGGATGAAAATACGAGCTTTCCAACCAATAAAACCAAATTTGAAAATAGAGCTTGTCCTGTAGTCACAGATTGGGCTTCTATGTATCAAGCTTCCCTACAAGTCTAGATGTTGGGCTATTCCACCTGACAGAAAGTCCACACGGGGAAACATATCTCTCCAGGTATAAGAAGTGCTTCACATCCCTAAAGCCCTTCAAGTAGAGCCTCAGAGAGCAGTGCTCCAGAGGTCTGTCTAGAGATGTACAGGAGAATCTCAATTGTGAGCCTCAGTTGCACAGGAGAATCACTGAGAAGCTTTAAAATGGACATACACCAGACCATGAAAAGGAATCTGCAAAGGTAGGAACCAGGCTTATTTATTTATTTATTTATTTATTTATTTATTTATTTATTTATTTTAAGCTATTCCATTGTGTCTCTAAGGTTGAAAATCACTGGAGAAGGTAGGCACGGGCCCCAACTAAATTAGTGTGTCTATTATAAGAAAGATGGCAAAGACACAGGTGAGAAGACATACATCTTCCAAATAGCATGAGCCCAAAAGACGAAACAAAGGGACTGAACCATATACACAGACTTTGTTTTCCCAATCTCGGTAAATAGAGACAGTTTTACATTTCCCTTGGGGAGAAAAAGGCATAGGATGTTAAATGGCAGAAACATCTGCCCAGTTTTGTTCTCTTCTTGGGAATGGAGTGGAAGTTTCTTCATATAATCATGAGGATAGGGTGGCAGGTCTGCCCTGTGGCTGATGTGGCTTTCAGTCTGGGCCTTCATAGATAGGTAAGTTTGCACATATAAAAATTGAAAGAACAGGAAAAAAAAACTGGAGGAACAGAGATGGGGGAACATTTTGAAGCAAGGATTTTTCTTTCTCAATATTTTTAGTAATCTTCTAGGCAATAAAAGAATGATTATTAACTGTTCCAAGTATAAATAAACAAAATGCGTAAGCTGTAAGTTGGCTGAAATATGTCTTTCTGAGCTCTGGACCTTTACAGGTGTTGTTCCTTATGCTGTTCCTGGACTCTTCCAGCCTCCCCTCATCCTGAGCCTCACCCCTCTCACCTACAAATCCTTAGATCTCAGGCTCTGGCAGAGCTTTCTCTGATCCCACATACAAATTTAAGTTCCCCTGCCATATGTTCTCATGAGATCTAAAACAACTTACAATCCTACATTTGTGAATATCTGGGTAATGTCAAGTTAATGAACTGCATGAGGACAGACCTCAACCTGCTTATTTGTCATTATATTCCAGGCTCCAGTCACAGATGCTACGTGTCTGTGAATAAGAGTCCCAGGCCATTCACAGGCTGTAAAAGCGCTTGAAGTTGCCAAGAAGGAAAGAATTTTTTTTTTAAGTTTATTTTGAGAGAGAGAGAGCAAGAGCAGGGGAGGGGCAGAGAGAGAGAGAGAGAGAGAGAGAGAGACAGGGAGAGAGAGAATCCCAAGCAGGCTCCACACTGTCAGCACAGAGCCCAAGGTAGGGCTGGACCCCACAAACTGTGAGATCATGACCTGAGCTGAGATCAAGAGTTGTCCCTTTAACCGGCTGAGCCACCTCGGCACCTCAATGAGAGAGTTTTTTTTTTTTAATGTTTTTTTTTTTAATGTTTTATTTATTTCTAGGAGAGAGAGAAAGAGAGAGAGAGAGAGAGAGAGAGACAGGGTGAGCAGGGGAGGGTCAGAGAGAGAGGGAGCCACGGACTCTGAAACAGGCTCCAGGCTCTGAGCTGGCAGTCAGCACAGAGCCCGACGCGGGGCTCGAACCCACGAACCGCGAGATCATGACCTAAGCGAAAGTCGGACGCTTAACCGACTAAGCCACCCAGGCGCCCCGAGAGAATTTTTTTAAAAAGAGGTGACAGATGCCTTCACTGGAATTGGGAGTACTGGAGAGCTTGAAAATGAAAAATCAGGGGCGCCTGGGTGGCTTAGTCGGTTAAGCGTCCGACTTTCGCTTAGGTCATGATCTCGCGGTTCGTGGGTTCGAGCCCCGCGTCGGNCCTGGGTGGCTTAGTCGGTTAAGCGTCCGACTTTCGCTTAGGTCATGATCTCGCGGTTCGTGGGTTCGAGCCCCGCGTCGGGCTCTGTGGAGAGGGCCAGCTCACGCTGTCTCTCTCTCTCTCTCTCTCTCTCTCTCTCTCTCCTAGAAATAAATAAAACATTAAAAAAAAAAAAAGAAAATGAAAATCAAATAAGGCTGCCAACACTTGAGCGAGAGTCAGTTGCCCTTTTTCACCCAGCACAACCACAGCACAAGAACAGCTACCGGTCGGGAGGCCCGTGAAAGACAGCTGATGCTGAGTAGGCCTCAAAGAACTCTCTTCAGTCACCCTGCACTCAGCCAGAGCACTGGCTGGACTGAATGGGGGGGGTGGGGGGGCAGTGGGAGGGGATGACTAAAGACCAAAAGATTCTTCCTGCTCTGAGGCTTCAGCACAGTAACTAAGACCTGTTCCAAGGAACAATTTTTCTGGATAAGAGTCGGCTGTGACAGTTAACCGTCAGGTTAAATTCAAAGGAGGCAAAAGTGGTTAATTTGATGTCCAAGAAACACAGGGCACCAAACTTGGTGGCACACGTTTCCCTCGGACAACAGCTCGAGAGCGCCGCCCCGAGCTGGCTCCTCGGAAAACCTGTCTCCTCCCGAGCTGCCAAAGTGATAAGCCGCATCCCAGGAGAGAACCGTGCTCCTGAATCTTGGAGACGATTTATGAAAGCAAATAAGGTGAACAAATAAAATCGATGATAGAAAAACAATACGCAACTCTTCCTTGTTGCCCTGGGCAAATCTGTTGCTTAAACAATAACAACAGAATCTAATCAGTAAACCTCTTAGCTGCCAGAATTATACAAGCAACTTGCCTATTTCAAATGTCACATTTCCCATCTGATATAAATATCCGCCTTCTGCTCACATTCCTGAAGTGTAATACAAATTGAGCCCAAACGAAAATTCACCTTGGCACAAACTAATTATTTTTTCCCTTTCAAATGACCCAGACTGTGCATTATGAAAATTGCAAAGCCCCGGTCTTTTCAGTAATTGGAGTAGATTGTGGAAGCCGGGAGTTGCTGCTCAGCCAGGCCTTTTTACCCTGCTGTCCACATGGCATGGGGGTGACTAGCTCCTTCAAGTCCACCGAGACCTGGTTCAGCCTCGGCAGCCTTTTATACACAAAGGCAACGCTGCGTGTTCTCTGATTTCTGGAAAAATCTGCCATAGCAGTAAGATGTGTGCATACTATTTTCTTAAACTAAAGAAATAGATCTGGTAGTAAAAAAAAAAAAAAAAACACCACTTGAAAAAATGTTTAAAGAAAACGATGTGAAAATAGTGGGAAAGGTAAAAAGGCTAATCTGAAAGACTGCTATAACCAAAATCATGTGTGTCACCTCTGTGAGTTTATGCCAGAATACACACTTTCTTGCTAATGGCAGGAAGCAAGAGATTTGAGCCATAGAGGAAATGCTCATCCCGTCTACTTTGGGGGCCTTCCTAGAATATTAAATGTATGTTGCAAATGTAGCACTTGCAGACTCAAACCATTTGTCTCCACAGACAACTGTATGGGCATCCCCTGGGGTAGTGGTTAAAAACGTTGAGCACTAGCTCTCACCAAAGATCTTCTGAGTCAGCCTCTGTCTCGGGAATAGAACCCAGGAATCTGCATTTTTAACATCTCCACTTCCCCAAAACAGTGTGTTTGCTCTACAAACTCGGCTTCCTGATCAGTCCTTAGCCACCCCTTCTGATCCTATCAGACCCCTTAAGTTGCTCATACAGAGAAATTCAGAGCTGCCTGGGGTATTAAAGTTAAAAGAGCCTCTCTCTGGAGCACGATTCCTTTAGATCTCTGATCTCACTTGAACCAAGTAAGTAAGGAAAAAATCTGCGAAGTTTATAGGTTAACAGAGTGCATGAGAAACAATCCCTTCAGTGCAGTAGTGTGATGTTTCTGAGCAGAGTAAAAGTGTTCATCGCTTCCAATTCCCAAAGCCTCTCAATTTCAGGCAACCAGAGAAGCCAGAGTAGGGACTTTCCTGCAAACAGTTTACAGAGTCACCCTCTGCGAACCAACGACACCCGCACTGGAACGTCCGTGTGATTATAAATAAACCACCCTCCCAACAATACTCATCGTCGTCCATGGTTATAATTACCTAAAGACTGTACACAATTCAACACCAGCAAACAAAGCCCCAGAGAAACTGCCCCTTCCCTATCATTCAACATTAACTTTGAGATATTCTTGCCTATTAAATTAGGAATGAGAATTTTCAAACCAAACAACTCTAATTTTGAACATATTTCGAAGGTGTTTTGAGCCACAAAGGAGGCCTATGTTTACACAGTAATGTTAAGCAGGAAAGGAAAAAGGTCTCATCTACATAAATATCAATGGACCAGCATTAAGCCTCTCCCAGCCCAGCCTAAGTAGGAAAATGCCCTAAAAGAAACATTATCGATATATCTTTAGTCTTAGGTGTTTGGCTTACATATTTGATAAATATTTATAAAAGTGCAGATTTTGATTTGATTTTATGTTTTTGTTTTACGATGAATTCTATTTTTGTGGTTTTTATGATCAATTGATATTTTATGGATCACTCGGAAATCATTCAATTTACACGATGCTTCTAAGAAATAAGATTTGAACTCAAATGGCTTAAGAAAATTATCCAAAATTCAACCACATGGGGTGGGGTCAGGAAGGGGCATCTTTATTTCATTTTAGACCAAAGACTTTACAACCTTCAATAGGCTTTGACCTTTCAGCTGAAATCTTTGTTATTGAAAAAGAAATTACAGGACTATAGTTCTCCCTACATCAGGGGAGGTGCAGGTAGGGATTGCCAAAAGAAAAAGAAAAAAGCTGTCTAAAGTGTTATTTGTAGTTTCTGGAAAGAGGTCAAGCAGCAGAGAGAGGAAACAAAGCATACCCTTGCTCATTTGGGGCTGAGTCTCCTCATCTTTGTCCAAATCTTCTAAATCAAGGAAATTGTCCACCTAAAAAGAGATGAACATCATTGTTATGTATATGAGGCCTACTGAAAAAATTTCAATTAACAATCAATGAACCCACTTCCACAGAATTCAAAGTGAGCCACTGAATCTACTTTTCTCATTAACTTGAGTCCCAGCTAACGGCCTTTGTGTTCACTGCTTTCCCAAAAACATCTGAAAGGAGCAGTCAATTTGGAAGCTGGCCTGGATTTTGTAGGCACCATAGTAAGATCTCTACACTGAGAGGAAAGGATGGTCTGAGGAGTTTTTGAAAAGAGACTTTGTTCCCAGATTCTCTGCCAGGATATACCTTATTCCCAAGACAGTCTGAAACAGTGACTCTGGTTTTTCTGTTGGTTGGTTTTTGTTTTATTGCTTTTGCCTCTCCACCAAATGATGGTGGTGGGTCTGGCTGTTACCATAATGGGCTTTTCACTCTAGGGTCAGAGAGAAGAAACTAAAGAAAGCAGAAGAGAAAGGTCCATTTGAAACAAAATCATCCTGCCCCAGGTAAATCACAAGAGAGGTGAGCAGGGCCGAAAATCAAGTGTTCTCTCTTCCGAGCAAATAAAACTGAAAATTACTTCAAAGGTAAAAAGCAGAGCAGATGACCTTTACAGGCACAATAGCAGCATTTCAATGAAAGACTAGTCCACGTGGAATCCTGCTCTCCGCAGCAAGCTGACAACGAGACATTTTAGATTAACAAAATGGTAACATTTCAGACACGAACTAATTCATCTCCGGTGAATATCAAAGAGTGTAAATAAGAAAATGATTTCACCACTGGCGTAAAGGAGACCTAGTCGAGTAAAGGCATAATGTCGAAATGCTCATCGTGACCTAAAACGTGCTCCTAACAAAGTATCATAAAGTTACAGATTCAGATCTCGTAAATGGAATTCAAAACAGAGCCTGGATTTTTCATCCCTCAGCTCTACTTCCCAGACCGTGGGCTCTGGCATATGAATTCAAAATGGAAGCTTCCATTGCTTGTAAGTACATCACTGTAGTTATTTCCTAGCATCCAAGTGACAGCAAAAATGGATCTTCACCATGACGGTCTCGGTCCTAACTCCGTTATTTTGCCATTTCTTTTAGCGGTGTATGTTCAGGGTGAGTAGAGTCATGTCTCTCTACTGAGGAACCCCTTCCATTTGCTAAGCTTTCAGGGAAAAAGACCTGGAACCCCACCGACCGACCAAGCATACTTTCAAGATATTTAAACACCAATAAAATCTGCTGAATTCTCCAATTTTGTATGAGAGATAGCAAATGAGTCCTGTGGGGGGAATTTGTTTTGATCTGACTTTTTTTTGTTTTTGTTTCTGTACCACAGAAGAAAATTGAATCATGCCTTACCTTCACCTGTCCTGCCCGATTCAGATCACCTTGAAAGGTACTGCCCACTTTTTGGCCTTCATCTATCACTATCTGAAACAGAAACAAAACAAAACAGTGAGGACACATTGATGGAAAAATGAAACAGCCAAAAATAAAGGAGCTGACATTGTAGCCCTTCAGGCCATAAAACTCCCCTTCCAACTTGTGTTAATTAGCTATGCATGATGGACCAGATCCACCAAGTCATAGTAGCGGTCAGGGAATAGTTTTCAGGAGGTCTGACTTCTACTTCTGCCTCTACACTCATCTACAGTATAACCTAGAGTAAATTACTTAACCTCAATTTTCTCATGTGTAAAATAGGAACACTCCCCACCTCATTACCCCACCTCCCATCCCATCCCATTGAACCTCTGAAGGACAAGGCAGAGAATGCTAATGCAACATTTTCAAGTTATTAGGAAACAATATCATTGAACAATTCTTTGCCTCTCACATGCTAGTTAAAGACTCAATAGGAAATATAATACCAATTGCCAGTGACTGCCAGTCGAAAGTGAATCCTTTACAGGAATAAAAAAGGTCAGGTCCCGTAATCATCTCATTTGGAAGCAAATTCTGGAATTAAAGAATTGTAGGCCTCCGCTATGTATAAACACTTTCCTAACACAGAGACCTTTGTTCCCTTGTATGAAACCACAATCTCATGTACACTTTTGTCCACAATATCACAAGGTAGACAGGATAAGCTAGAAGGTAGAAACTCAAATGATGTTAAAAGTAGAACATGAGCTTCCACTGGGATTCCTTGATAATTAAAAAACCATAGCTAAGGAGAACATGAATATAGTCTATTAAGTCTTTAAGATTAGGAACAGAGCATACAACATTTATTGACCAAATCTTGGAAAAACCAAGATAACAGATTTCACTTTAAGAGATAAACCCAGGGGCACCTGGGTGGCTCAGTCATTTAAGCAATCAACTTCGGCTCAGGTCATGATCTCATGGTTTGTGAGTTCGAGCTCCACTTTGGGCTCTGTGCTGACAGCTCAGAGCCTGGAGCCTGCTATGGATTCTGTGTCTCCCTCTCTCTCTGCCTGCCCCTGCTTGCCATCTGTCTCTGTCTCTGTCTCTCTGTCTCTCTCTCAAAAATAAATAAACATTAAAAAAATTAAAAATCAATAAAAAAGAGATGAATCCAGAGCAGGTAAAAAAATCTCCCATTTTACACAGAGAATTATACACAGAGAATTATAAAAATGAACTATTTTTTCCCAAATAGAGGACAAGCTAAAATACGGGAACAATTTCAAGAATTTTTAGATGGCAGTTTCTTAAGGAAACATAAAAATTTGGGGATAACCATGTTACCATCATAAACTTTGACTGCTGAAATCATGAAATATAATGATGATTTTCAATGAAGTATCCCAATGCTATGCCTAGAATCAAGAGTCTGAGTTACTGATCCAATACTGTCCAATGTTTCGTATGTTCTTACAGTCTCTCTCTTTTTTAATTCATAAAAAATGGGTTTTTTCCTGTTTCTATAAATGTGCTATGATATTACCTGTTCCTCTTCTGAAGGAAATATATTTTCTGAAGAATCAGCTCCAAATGCTCCTCTTTTGGTCATATTATTCTCTGAAATGATAAGTTACATATTATAAAACATCCACCACATGGAGTCTAGTTAACGTTACATTTACTGAGAATCTTTCTTCCAAACAACAACCAAAAAAATGCTTTTCAAAGAAATCTACAAGCTGAATGCTTGAGGCATTGAGCACTCTTAACTTTACAAAATTACTTCTGGGGTGCCTAGGTGGCTCGGTTGAGCATCTGACTCTTGATTTCAGCTTAAGTCATGATCTCATGGTCATGGGATCGAGTCCCACGTTGGGCTCCATGCTGAGTGTAAAGCCTGCTTGGGATTCTGTCTCTCTCCCTCTCTCTCTCCCTCACCCCAACTCAAAAATAAATAAGTAGGCTTTTTTAAAAAGAACTTACAAAATTGTTTCTAAATATGCATAGAAAGATAACACAATTTCACTCACTTTTCAATAATACTTAAGTGCTTACTATAAATCTAACACTGTTCTCAGCCACCATTACAAGGTGAGGAAAGTACAATACTTGCAAAACTCTTAGATATTATATTTCTCTTTTTTTTTCTAAAATCGAGGGTAGGTTTTCCTTATGTGGTAGCAATGTGTGGATGATTGTGGAAAACTTGCAAGAGAAAAAAATTAGAATTAGAAAATCAATCCTAATCCTACAAAACAGAAAAGCTGTAACAAATTTTCTTTTCCAATGGCTATGTTTCTCATATTTTATCTGTGTATCCACATATGTAAATTCTAAAGAGCAATGTTTGACTATTCTTGACTATTTATAAGTATAATACCTTTGCACTAAATCTGTTCACATTCATGATCATCTTCTTAGGATAAGGAAAGGGTCTAAGATTAATCCTAAATTAAGAGATTGAGAAGATTATGATAACATGATGCCATTAACAGAAATGTGGGAAATAAATTCAGATGCGTGGTAATGAGTTAAGCTGTAATCGTGCTCACTAGAGGTATCAGTAGAAATAGTGAGGGAAACAACCAAGAGGCTTCTGAAGATGTAGGCTATATCATAGCTACAGGTAAATATCTGGTAAAAATTACACTGGGATAAGGGTTTAAACCATCAAATTATTTTCAATATTAAAACTAATGATGAGGGTTAACATGGATTAAATGTCAGATCCTCTTTTACGAGGACCTCATACAGCTCATGTAAGACACACGGAAACCCTAGAGGTAGACACTGTTAGTATTCCCATTTTACAGATGAGGAAACCAAGACCTACTAGAGAGATCAAGTAACCTGTTCAAAGTCACACAGCTGGTAAGTCACAGCATGAGGATTTGAACCCAGGCCTTTTGACTCAGAATCCACACTCTCGATCACACTGCTATGCCCCTTAGAGTGAGAAAGCAAATGAAGCGAACGGGTATTTAGAGTACAGAAGAATGAAGCAAAACAAAACAAAACAAAAAAACAAATCCCAGAAAGGAGACAAAGAAGAAAAGTTTACAACAGCACAAGTACCAGGGGTGCACAGTAGAGCTACGAGAATTGTTTGATCTGAGTGCTTTGTAGGCAGGTATCTAACCAAAGGGATATGAGAGGGTCTAACCCAGCACAGTGGCCATGTTTGTTTCTCTTGAGCTGTTACTTGCATGGCATCAAAAGCAGTGAGAGTCTTGTTGTTTACAGCCTGGTGCAAGTTCAGTCAGAGTCCTTTGTTTGCTTCTGTCTACCCATCATTGGCAGAATTAAGACTTGTAGGGGTATCTACAGGACATTAATGCTGGAATAGTGTTAGGGTGCAGAGGTAAGGTAACCTAATCTGTAATACGTTATTAATACTCAATAAACAAGAGAGGGAGAATGCAAATACTGAATGCATCACTTTTTCCTTAAAAGGGTTGTATTAATAAAGAACACAAGCTCAGGCCAGTTCTCTCTCCTGACTCCCATACCAACATGCATGACTCCTAAATAGCTTCCACCGGGAGAGCAGAAACTCTGATGGAAAGCACAAGCCTTGGCAGTTGGCATGGAGCGGTGAGGGCCAGGGGGTGGGGGGCTGAGTAAGTAAGGCAATGGGAGCCTTGCCAAGAATACTGCTGGAATAACCAACCAGCGCTAGAAAAGATCAGATAAGTGAGGAAGTTGTGGTTTTAGGACTTATCTCCCTGACTTCTTCCCCTTTTACAGTCAGAGCTGTCCTAAATCAGTTCTGGGGAAAAGATAAGCAATGAAGACAGGAGAATTTACCGGAGGCATGGAAGGGTTTCTCAAATTTCCTCAGAGTTAGAGACAAGAAGACTTCCCGTGGCTACCTGTCATTCCTCCATGCACTGTTTTTTTTTATGTCTACTTATTTTTAAGAGAAAAACAGAGTACAAAAGAGGGAGGGGCAGAGAAAGTGGGAGACACAAAATCTGAAGCAGGCTCTAGGCTCTGAGCTGTCAGCACAGAGCCTGACATGGGACTCAAACCCACGGACTGTGAGATTATGACCTGAGCTGAAGTCGGACACTTAACTGACCAAGCCACCCAGGCAGTGCCCTCAGGGCCCTGTTCTAATAGGAGATGGAATAGTTTTCTGTTCCCCTGCTTATCCTTTAAATCCAGCAGAACCTAAATCTAGTATTTACTGAGAAAATACTACATCCCAGCACACTATTGTAATAGTCTACTGGCTTTAATACCTGAGAAACACAGTGATGTCTGAGAAGAACAGATACTCTGGAAGGACAAGTTCTGTTTGTTCTCAGAATCACTCAGTGCACTCCTCTGCCATTTCCAACGTGACGCTCAGGGTATTTGACAGATAACCAAATGAAACTCCTTCCAAATAAAGAGCAATATATAACAGAGTCCCAGCTTCTGACGCTGATGTTGAGCTATTGTTGGGATCTCAGATCTAACAAAAACATTCTAGTTCTTTTGTAAACATAAAGTTTTCGTGTAAAAGATACCAGGAGAGGAGCGCCTGGGTGGCTCGGTCGTTTAAGCATCGGCTCTTAATCTCAGCTCAGGTCATGATCTCACGGTTTGTGGTTTTGAGCCCTGCATCGGGCTCTGTGCTGATAGCACCAAGCCTGCTTGGGATTCTCTCTCTGCCTCCCTCTCTGTGCCCCACCCCCTGTTTAAATAAATAAACTTAAAGGAAAAGAAAAGAAAAAGAAAAAAGACCAGAAGATGCAGAAAAGAACTTGTTCTCTCTGTGACAGATCCCTCAGTTTAAGCCTCCTTCTGGGACCCTGAAAGTAGTTTCACAAGAATGTATATTCTCTCACTCCAAAGACCCAGAATGCTTCTTATAAAAGCTTTTTATCACTTTTTGAAAAAACAGCAAATAATAAATCTCTTGGCAGAATAAGATAGGAAAAAAGGGATTTTTTTTTCAATATGATAATGTCATAATGGCAGATGTTGGCACAGCCCAGAATCCAAAGTGGCCCTAAGCCTGATCAGAGGGCCAGCTGCTGCCTCCTAGAGTTCTGCTGGTGGCAGTCCAAACGCGCCACCCAAGCGTCCATCTCATCTTCTGCTTCTGTGCTCCATCAGAGTCCTCTTCCCCCCTTTCATCTTATGTCTAATGTTTCTTGCTTTGAAATAAGTGTCAGACAGAATACACTTTAGAAAGCTAGCATCTCTATTTCAGAGTGCAAGTAGGTTACTGAGATCCGAAAGACAGTTTCTTTGGGCATTTCTGAGTCAACACTTCAATATGAATGAAACAAAGGGTTTTCATGTTTGTTTGTTTGTTAGTTCCTAAAGGTTTTTAAAGGTTTCGTTATCTGAAGCAATGGAATTTCGATTTTCTTTTGATACCAAACAGACAAGCTTCTAATAGATGTCCCATACATGATCGCCAACTACACCTACCATGTCTAATTTCAGGCCAAGGAAAGAGATTCCGCTCCTCAAAAAGGTGGAAACCACAGATGCCTTGATAAGTTAAACACAAATCACATATTGATTATGTATCTTCCCGATGAAAGGGATCGCTTTCAGAGAGCTCAATTCTGGGGGGGAAAGAAAGCTTTTTAAAAATTCAAATTCTAGGGGCACCTGGGTGGCTCAGTTGGTTAAGTGTCCAACTTCGGCTCAGGTCATGATCTCACGGTTCATGGGTTTGAGCCCAGCATCGGGTTCTATGCTGACAGCTCAGAGCCTGGAGCCTGTCTTCGGACTCTGTGTTGCCCTCTCTCTCTGACCCTCCCCTATTCATGCTGTCTCTATCTCTCTCTCAAAAATAAATAAAACATTAAAAAATTTTTTAAAAATTCAAATTCTGTCCATACAAAAACCACACTAGACTAGACCCCATGTGCTGAGAACAGCATCACCTTGCTTGTGGGAGAGTTTTCACAGATCAACAGTCAGCATCAGAATTCACGACCGATTCCTGACAGCAACCTCAAGAGTCTGTTCTTCTGCACCATGGTCAACGGCAATATAAATCAAGAGCATGTGCTCAGTCGCAAAGAGATATTGGCTATGTTGCTAGAAGGAAAGAAAAATACATGGGGGGGGGGAGGGGATTCTGTGCAAAACTGGGTAGTTGCAAAAAGCCTTTTGCAAAGAGAATTGGGGATAAGCAATCATGCCTATAACAAGGCTGGGTACTTTGAAAGTCAGGGGGTGATTTTCACATTATATTCCTAGCCTAGAGCAATGTTTCTCTGGACAATAATATTTGCTCTTGATTTGTCCAGCCAGACGACTTCACTCCACTGCTTCTTGATCACATGCTCCTTCGTATCTGGCCTCCCCTGGAGCGATAGTCGTTAGGATTAAATAAGCAATTTAAAAACCAATCAATCATAAATCAGAATAAATCCAAAGAAGCTAAATTCAGCAGACAAATGTTTTGTCTAAATTCCCTTTGCAGTGCTCTGAATTCCAACTGTTTTATGTTCTTCATTTGAAAGGGCACAGGGAGGAGAGGATTACCTCAGCCGGGCCAGTCAGGAATAATTGTGCTTTCCCCGAGGCTGGATGATAATTGACTCATTATTCACAGTCAGCTCTCAAGCTGCCAAGACACAAATGTACAACCCTGGCCCGGAAAA